GTATTTTACATTTAACATTTACATAAGCTGTTTGCTTGAATATTACCCTTAATCCGAGTAGTGTGGCACTGTCTGCACTGACTGCATTCAGCGATCCAGTGTTGGGGTCAACGTACTCCTTGGCCTGAGTTATAATATATTCCAATGCACGAGCTGCAAGTTTTGTGCCCATATTGCGGTCAAACGGAGTTGGATTACCGCCCTGCTGCGCATGTCCCAATACATTAATCCTGTAAAATCCAGACTGTAAAGTTTGCATTTCGCAACATTTTTGTACACTTATTGCTGGAGCCCTGTGAATTTTGAAAAACAATGTCAGGAGCGACAGCAGCGCTAAAGCAGATAATTGTTAAATGCCAATAAGCAATAATCACAGCAGAAGTAGAATTCCAAGGAGTGCGCTTCCTGGAATTCAAAAAAAACCCCCACGGGGCATTTCGTGGAGTGAAAGCGCGTAACAGGCATTGGCGGATCCATGGGGAAGGAGGGGGAGGGGCCTTTCATCCCTTCCCCTCCCCCCCTCTCCCCTCCTCCTCCACGGTCTTAGGTAGCAGTTGTTTTACTATACAAAAATCTGCTCGGTGCCTCCTGTCGCTCCCCCCAGAAGCCTTGTCAGTCTCAGGTTAGTATCCATTGGTGAGAGCGGGGACAGGGTAGTGGATCGTCAAGGATAGTGACGAACGATGGGGGAAGAGGGGTAGTTCGACGATTGAAGGGTGAGCCGGGAGCTGGTCGACGGCGGGGATGTAGTGACAAAGGGAGAAGAAAAGGTGAAAAATCTTCCCCCTTTTCCTCCCCCCAAGCAGACCACCCTGGATCCGCCTATGATAACAGGCATCTCAAGAGTAAACAAGTGCCGACTCTTTTCGACTAGAAGCAAGCTGACACTACTTAAGCACGACATCAGGGAGGAGAAGAGGTTGTGATAACCTGGTCGAGAACGTTCCTCGGCCCTCCTCAGCAAACAGCTGATTAACAAACTGCGTTGTATAATTTCTGCTCGCCATTTCACATCGGACAATCAGATATCGTTGCACACCAGTCTTCATTTTCCGAATAATTACCTGGAATGCAATCAAATTCTGTTAGTAAGTAGCGAGCTATCCTGAAAAAATAAATAACATCAGCTCTGATTAAAAATGCTTGCTCAGTATTTCATAAGTGGTCCAGGAAAATCATTCAAAAGGGTTTGCGAAATCCTAATAAATGGCCAACGCACGGGCTGCCCGTGCGAAGATGCGTTTTTTGCAGAGTTTCCCGCAAGTTTTTGTCGCTGCCGGCATCGGTTTTTCGGCAGATGCTTCTAGCTGAAAGAATTTCAGACTGGCTGCTACAACTGTCAGGAAACATCCCCCGAAAATTCCAATCTTCTAGCTTCTCACGTTCTCGAGTAATTAACTTACCCGGAAGGAACTTTTCAC